CCTCCTCCTCCCCCCCGCCGCCGCCTGAGCGCGCGGCCGCCATTTTGTCTGCGCCCCCCGCCCGGCGCTCCCGCCCTGCTCCCTCCGCCTCCCTGGCCGCCCGCGCCGCCATTTTGTCGCCGCTGCCCCGCCGGCCGCCGCCGGGCCGCCGCCGACCGCCTTGCCCTAGCCCGGCGGCTGCAGCCTCGCCCCCACCTGGCGCCCTGCCCTGCCCTGCCCTGCCCGCCCCTCCTTCCCTCCCTCCCGCCGCCGCCCCGCGCACCATCGTAGCGCTCGGCCTGCTCGGCCAGCTTAGCCTGGTAGACGAGGTCCTCCCGGTCGTCCATGTCCGTGGGGCGAGGGCGAGGGCGGCGACGCGGGGCGGATGGAGACCGATGGTCCGGCGGCGGGGGGGGCTCAGCCACGATCAGCTCTCGCTGCTCTCCGGGCAAAGATGGCGGCGGCGCCTCCTCCCGCTACATCCGGGCAGTGCGAGCGCCGCGCGCAGGCGCCGCCCCACCCCCTCGCCCTCCCTAGCAACGGCCGGCCCTTGGCAACCGCCGGGCGGACGCGGATGGCGTCGCTGCTGCCCGCCGAGGCAGGCCGGGCCGAGTCTGAGCCTTCGTCGCCCGGGGCTCCCGGGCCGGCCGAAGAAGCGCAGGCCCCCTCCCCTTCCCAGGGGTGTCTTGCCGGAGGGAGCGGCGTCCCCTGGCGGGGCGATTCCCGCGCTGAGCGGGCTGGGCCTTCGACCCCAGCCCGGCGGGGGCCCCCGTGGAAGCGCCAGACCTCGGTGCCCTCCAGGCCGCCCGTCCCCGACAGGACCGGTCGCCGCTCCTCCTCCTCGGCCTGCCTCCTCGGCCTCCCCTCTGACGCCCACTTCTCCGGCTTTGTCCGTCGGCCAACTTTCTAAGCCGCTTTGACCCCCCCCCACACACACACACGCACACCCGTCCTCCTCCCACGGGGACCCGGCACAGCCCGCGGCGCTTCTTTGCCTGGGAGCCCCCATAGTGCCCCCCCACACGCAGGCTTTGGGCGCCCCCCCCCCACACACACACGCAGGCTTTGCGCTCAGCCTGGCCCCGTTTCTCCTTGGTCAGGAGGAGAAGCTGAGGCAGCACTTCCCCAATGTATGAAGGGGATAAAAATTGACCTGTTTTTAATGAAAGCCTGGCCTTGTTAATTGGGATAGGCCTAGCCAGATGCACCTAAACTAAGGCTTTTCAACCTTTTCACCCATTGTACCACTTTTAGGATATGGCAATATCCGAGTACCACCAGTCGCCTAGCAAGGTGTCAAAAACTTGATGACCCCCTCCAAAAAAGGGAAAAAAGTGATAAAGTAGAGGTAGTCCTCGACTTACAACAGTTCGCTTAGTGACTGTTCGAAGTTACAATGGCACTGAAAAAAGTGCCCCCCAAGCCACAGCCAAGCAAGACACCTGCCTGCCCACCCGGCGGCGCTCTTCCTCCTGTCCGAGGTTTTCATTGTTGTGAGCATTTCTGTTGAGGATTGGCAGTGGGGGGGGGTGTTTGGTTTTTATTCCCCCCCCCCCCAGTCTGCTGGGTGGTTGCAGCAGGTTTTGGTCACTTCACATGACCCTGGGACACTGTGACCGTCGTAAATATATCAGTTGCCAAGCATCTGAATGTAAATTACAAGACCCTGGAAATGCTGCAACATTCCAGCTGATGGGGGTTCTTCTGGGCTTAGCAGAAGCACCAGGATCAGTGCCGAGCTCCAGCTGGAGCCTGGCGCTGATCCTGGTGCTTCCATTGAGCCCTGACAGCACCGAAGAAGCTCTGATCCTGGCGCTTCCGCTGAGCCCTGACAGCCCTGCAGCTCCAGCCATCTCTTGCTCAGGCTTGTGCAATGCTGCCACCGGTTCAGCTCATTTCCCTCCCCTGCTACCACTTTTCTAGGATGGTCGCGTACCACCTGCCAGATGCCAATGTGCCACAGGTGGTACCCGTACCACTGATTGAAAAGCCTTGGCCTAAATGACCAGCCTGCCAGTCACTCCAAGGACCTTGACCCAGTGTGGTTAAACTGGCAGCTCTCTGTCCACTATCCAGGTCTTCCTCCTTCCCCTCTTGGAAGACGCTTGCCCATCACCATTTTCTGGCTCCTCCCGGGTCCTCCGGGAGTTCTTGGAGACTGCAGCTGCTCTCTTCACTACAAGTCGTCCTCACTTAACAGTGGTTCGGACGGGAATTTCATGGTGGTAAAGCAGGACATCACACGCAGTCGAAATTCCAGATGTTAGTTGCTATCATTAAGTGAATCTTGCACTGATGTGGAGTAAGGACTTTGTGTGGTCACCATTTGCAACCTCCTGCCAATTTCCCGGTTGACATTGCTTGTAGGAAGTTGGCAAGGAAGACTGCCAATGGCGATCTCGTCATCTCAGGATGCTGCAGGTTCTGTGGGATTGAGGGTGATGGTTAGGGAGAGGCTCTAGATGGGAGATGGGACAGGCTACTCTTGGGGCACGTGCTTCCGTCATGTGGTTTCGATGGCACGTTCCAGCCCTTTGCTCTCAACTCTCGACCCTGCCTGGCAGCCCTTGGACAGCCTGGTTTTGATGGCTGTTGCCTGGTTGGTCTATAATAAAGCTGTCCTCGTCCCTGATCTAATCATAGATGAGAGGGCCAATCTGGTATATATTACCTAAATTTAACTGGGCTTTGAGGCCTGTGTTCCCATCTCAGAGATGTACCCAAGTGGGTTTGGGGCATGGTATCAGCTATGACCCTTAAGCAAGGGTGGAAGGGTTGCAGTTGTGTGACACAACACTTGGGTGGCTTCCAGAGGCACTTCCGTCGATTGTTTGATGTAAGTCCCTGTGTGTTAAGTTGGGCTCCACACTTCATTTGGGTTGCTATTGTACCAGCCTCCCTGCCTATCCTTGATTCTGTGGCAGGTTGGTAATGGAGTTACCCAGGCCTATGGGCAGATCAGGATATGGGACTGCGATGGCTGTAATCACACTTCTAGATTGCTTGGGGGGCGTGTCTTGGGTCAGAGACCTCTTAGTGGCCTTAATTACCTTTGATCCTGATCCGCCACTGGACTGGCTTTCAGGTTTGGCAACACTCTGCTCTGTGCAGGTTTTTCCTCCTGCCCGCCCCGGATTGGTTGCAATAGGTGTCTATGGAGAATCTCAGTCATTCAGGCCATGGTTGTCCCAAAGGTGCTTTTTCAAAAGGCAAGTGGACTTTTCTTGTTTTTTGTTTTTTGTTTTTTGCTTTGAAAGTTTCGCTTCTCACCCAATAAGCTTCTTCAGTTCTGAGGTACTGAGGTCAAGCAGCCCCTATTTTGTGGGGAGGGCAGGACCTGGTACTTTCTGTGCATGTTTAACATATACGTGACACAACTGGGTGAGCGATCCAACAATTTGGGATTGAGGTGTCATCGCTATGCTCGTGATACCCAGCTTCAAAAAGACAGGCCCCTACTTACAACAGGCCCCTACTCTGACAGGCTGTTTGTGCCTCCAAGTATAAAAAACATGCAAGGTATGTTTCTTACCTTACATCTCTTCCTCTGCATATGATCGATCGTGGACTGACTTGGAAGTTCGTAATTCCTTCTCATAAATTCAGGGCTAACATGATTACTTTTCCCAAAGGTGCCAATCATACTTATTCAGTTTCTTCTTGCTGGAAAGCTTTAGATCTTAAGTCCACATGGATTCCTTGTTGCCATTTTTGAATTTGTTTCAGTTTCTCTGAATCTTGCAAAAGTGGATACAAATGATTGGGTAAAGCAAGCTGTAATGGAAAATCTCATTTGTTCTTTTATCATCCACGTTTTACCATTGTTTTCATTTTCAGGTTGTGTATGTCAACTTCTGGCTAAAAAGCCCAACCAAAGCGAAATACCAGAGCCATTGCATTCTCTAATGTATATTTTATTGAGCAGATACAAACCGGCAGGGTTAAAGGAAAGCTAGCTCTGAGGAAATGGCAGAAAGCAGTTAATTAAAAGGATGGAACTTTTCCTTCCTTCTCTGACAGGTTCAGGTCACATTGTCCAATACATCGTTCAGTAATTATTATGAGAAGAAACTTTAGTTTGCCAAAAAAGACTCTTCAACAGCTCTGGCTCTCACACTGATAAGGACACCTGTGGATTCAGAATTCTCCCCTCTCTCCCTCCTGCAATGTTGGCAAGTTAGAAGCATGTAGCGAAAGACTGTAGGGTTCGTAGCTTGACAGGTCGCCCCCCTCCAGGAAGGAAAGGGATCCTGGAAAACAAAAAGAATACACATCAATGCTTGCTAATCTTTCCCTTGCGCCGGTCCCGGTTTCCGGGAGTACTTTCATATTGTGCTTTCATCCATTTAGATTCTGACATCAAGTAACCCACTGGATTAACTACTGCAACTTCCCCTTATGGATTCTGAAATCGAGGATTCGCTTCATAATGTGTTCCCCCTTCTACCACTATTGGGGCTGGGAGCCGCCGTCCCTACTGGCCTCAATGTGGATTCCTTGTATGGCTTCAATAAGCTACAATGGAACATCGGGTGCATTTTGCCCAATGACCGTGACAATTTTAGTTCTACTGTCACTGGATTAATGACTTTTGCTATGGGGAAAGGACCTGAGTACTTTGGCCCTAACTTCTTGCAACTTTGTCTCAGCTTGAGATACTTTGTAGACAAATACACCGTATCCCCTACATGGAACATCTCCTGGGGAGCCTGTTTCTTATCTGCCTGTGCTTTCTGATGCTCGGCTGCTTTGACTAAAGCCACCTTCGCATCGTTCCAAACTCACTGGAATGAACCCACCCACCCAGTCGTTCAGGGTGCTCACGGAGGGAGGCTCCTGTGGGCACTCTGGCATTGGCACAGAATCCACCCCGATGCTAGCTTGAAAGGGGTGAACCCAGTGCTGCTGTGCACTGCATTGTTACTTCTGCAAATGGCAACAACTCTGCCCAGTTTGTTTGCTGGTAGTTGACATAGCAATGCAGGTACTGCTCCACTATGGCATTGGCTCATTCTGCAGATCCATTTGAATTCGGATGAAATGCAGAGCTGAGCCCCTAGGAGGATCCAATCATCCTCAAACTTCCTCCAGAACTTGGCTGTAAACTGCTCACCCCAGTCTGAAATGATTCGCCTAGGTGCTCCGTGCAATCGGCAGATGTGTTGCAAGAACATCTTCACCAGCTTCTGGGCTGAGGGAAGACCGGTAGAGGCCTGATGATCTCCAAACCACACATCTGCTTGCAGCTCCTGCTTCAGCCGCTGGGCAAATGCATCGGTCGGGAGATGAGCTCTTTTTCTCCTGTCATCAGGTTGTGACTTGCGCCGCTTGCTGCCTATCAGGAACTACGGAACTCACCACCTCTTGCCGAGTGCTTTTGTACTGAGGCATGCAGGACAGGGCATCAGCCAGGAAATTCTTCCCCCCGGGGCTGTCTTTCAGTTC